GGAGGGAGGGGGTGGTTTGGCTCCCCCCAACCGCCCCTGTGTCCCTGCAGTGTCCGCCCAGCTGGACCCCTTCGCCGCCATTGACTACTCCCTGCTGGGGCGGCCGGCCATCATGGCAGAGCATGGGGACGTCGCCTTCAAGGTAACGCCATCCAGGGTGTCCCTGGGCTGGCTCTGGGAACAGGGTGTGGGGGGAGCTGGGCTGAGCCTTGCATCTGTCCCTCTGTCTGTCTGCACAGGGGGAGTTCTTCAGGGTGGGCAATTTCCAGCAGAGACCCTCCTCGGCAAAGCCCGTGGCACTGCCCGTGGCGTTGCCTGCGGCTCTGCCCATGGCACATGAGCCCATGCTGCTGCTGGCTGTCACAGAGTTCGTTGCCAACTCCGCCGCCTTCACGTACTTCACGGCCGGAGCTCTGCGCAGGAACATCTCCAGCAACATGGTAGGGATGGCTCCAGGTGTGGCTGCGGGGCAGGGCTTCCCTCCTCTTCAGTCCCACCAGGGTGTCCCCGCGCCCACCCATGCCTTGTCACATCAGCATCCCAACCCCTCTGCTGCCTTCCAGCTCCCACGGCGGTTCCCGCTCCAGCTGAGGACCAAGAACATGGGGCTTTTCTCCCCACAGGTGGGTGTGGGTGAGATGGGATGTGGGGAGAATGGGACACAGGATGGGATGCAGGAGGGATGGGATGCAGGAGGAATGGAACACAAGTAGGATGGGATGCAGGAGACACAAGATATGAGATGGGATGTAGGAGGGGTGAGACACAGGAGGGATGGGACGTAGGATGGGATGCAGGTGGAGTTGGATGCAGGAGGGACATGACAGGGGATGGGATGCAGGAGGGATGGGATGCAGGAGGGATGGGATGCAGGAGGAATGGGACACAGGTAGGATGGGATGCAGGAGGCACAAGATATGGGACGGAATGTAGGAGGGGTGAGACAGGAGGGGTGGGATAGGATGCAAGTGGAGTGGGATGCAGGAGGGACAGGGCAGGGGATGGGATGCAGGAGGGATGGGACACGGGTTGTCATGCAGGCAGGATGGGATACAGGAGAAATGGGATACAGGGGAGATGGGACATGAGGTGGGATGCAGGTAGAATGGGCAGGATGAGATGCAGGATGGGATGCAGTCAGGATGGGACACAGGCAGGACAGGACATGGGCAGGTCGACGGTGGGCGAGACAGGACCCATTGCGCACCCTGCCTGCACCCAGCCTGGGGCAGGGCAGTGATGGGGCACATGGGTCCCGGGCAGTGGTGGGGGACGGCTGGTGCCCGCAGCGCTGGCAGTGTCGGTGTGGCTCTGTGCCAGTGCAGCCGTCTTCCCCCCAGCTGCAGGAGCGCTACCCGGACCAGCCCATGGAGCTGCACCTCTCAGCTCGCCGGCAGCCCCTGCTCTCCTGCCACCCTGACGCCCTGCATGGGGCCCTCTTCAGCTCCGCCGAGGCCTTCGTGGTGCTGCCCAATGCCACTCGTGTCCCCGCTTTTCTGCTGAACATCGTGAGTGTCTGGTGCTGCTATGGCACAGGGTCTGCTGCCTGCGCTCCAGGCTGAGGCAGCGCTGGGTGATGCTGGGGCAATGCTGGGTGACACTGGGTGATGCTATGGTGGTACAGGGTGACAATGGGTGATGCAGGGTTGCAGGCACTGCCCTGATCTTTCTGACATCTCTTCTTGCTGCAGGACGCCAATGTGACAGGGAAGCCAACCATCACTGGGAACAGGCTCGGGGGCACCGTGAGCCTGAAGGGGTGAGTCCCCAGCCCCATGCTGGGTCTGGCCTCCCCATGGATGTCCGCAGGGAGCTCTCACCATTCCCCACCTCTGGTCTTTTGCCTCTGAGTCCTGTATCGCGTGCTGGGACCCCATCCCGCCCCTGGCTTTTGGCCATGCCCACTGCCCTGTCACTTGTACCCCAGCTAGGTCCTCAGCTGGACCTGCTCTGCCAGGCTCCCAGCCCTGCCATGGGGCTCAGCCCATCCCTGCCCCAGGAGGGGACATTCCCCATGCCCATGCCTGGCTCTCACCCTGCTCTCGCCCTCCAGGCTCAGCGTGGCACTGGTGACATCGCATGTGGGCCCAGTGGAGGTGAGTGGCCGTGCATGACGGGCAGCCAAGGGGAGACTTGGGCTCCGCACCCACCTGGGAGCAGAGTCTGGGGGGGATGGGGTCTGGGGGGA